TGGCGCCTTGTAGAGCCTCCTCATGAGGATCCATATTGAGTACGGCGTTGTTGAGTTATCGCGTGTTGAGCGGAGGGCGCGCCTTCGCGCACGGTGGCCGCAAACTAGGGGTGGCCGCAAACTAGGGCGCCTAGCTTACTTGAATCAATTATGACTCCATCAACTCTCTCTCAACGCGCCTATCGTGAGGCTGATATACATCTCGCAATATCAGCTCTTAATACAAATCAAATTCAGACTGAGCGAAATGCTCCAAGCACGTTTAATATCTCTCGAGCAACGCTCCATCGCCGACGCGCTGGGAAGCCTACACGACGCGATTGCCAGCCCAACTCAAAGAAGCTCGCTCTGCTTGAAGAGGAGGTGATAATCAGCCATATACTCGATCTAGATCAACGTGGATTTGCGCCTACGTACGCTGCTGTACGTGATATGGCCGATAAACTACTGGCTGCGCGCGGCGCTGGTCAGGTCGGCGTCCACTGGCCGCGCAACTTTGTTAAGCGTACAGACAGTCTTACAACGCGTTTCAATCGAGCGTACGATAGACAGAGAGCCCTATGTGAGGATTCAGTCCTAGTCAGCTCCTGGTTCAAGCTTGTAGAGGAGACAAAGGCTAAGTACGGCATCTGCGATGAGGACGTCTACAACTTTGACGAAGCTGGCTTCAGGATGGGCAAGATCACGACTCAGCTCGTCGTGACAGGGTCAGAGAGGAGAGGCAGGCCAAAGGCTATCCAGCCTGGTAATCGCGAGTGGGTAACGTTGATCGCTGCGATCAACGCAGCTGGCTGGTCAATCCCACCGTTCCTTATCTTTGCTGGCCAGTATCACCTGTCTGCCTGGTACGAGGAAGATATCCCACGCGACTGGGCGATCGCAGTCAGCGACAACGGCTGGACGACCAACAAGCTAGGAGTTGAGTGGCTGAAGCACTTCAACGCCTACACGAAGGCTCGTGTTGTAGGTGCGCGTCGCCTGCTTATCCTTGACGGCCATGAGAGCCACCAATCCCTTGAGTTTCAAGAGCTCTGCAAGGAGAACAACATCTACACACTCTGTATGCCACCTCACTCATCTCACCTGCTCCAGCCTCTTGACGTTGGCTGCTTCTCGCCATTGAAGCGCGCGTACAGTCGTGAGGTGGAGAGCCTGATCCGCCACCACATCAACCACATTACAAAGCTCGAGTTTCTGCCAGCGTTTAAGGCAGCGTTTAATCGAACGTTCACGTCAGCCAATATCTGCTCAGCTTTCCGCGGCGCAGGCCTTGTTCCTCTCCAGCCAGACACTGTCCTCTCGAAGCTAGACGTGCAGCTCCGTACGCCTACTCCAGCTGCTCTACCAGAGGCTCCCTGGGAGGCTCGTACGCCGAGCAACGTACGTGAGCTTGAGGCTCAATCAACGTTAATACGTGAGCGCGTACGCCGGCATAAGAGCTCATCACCAGCTTCGATCATTGAAGCGATTAACCAGCTCAAAAAGGGCGCTGAGGTGATGATGCTCTCAGCTGAGCTAATGCGCGATCGGATCACCAGCCTTGAGAGAGCCAACGAAGCAGCGAGCAAGCGTAGGCAGCGCAAAAAGAAGCGGATACAGAAGCGTGGGACCTTAACAAAGGGAGAAGGAGAGGATATACTAGCTCAAAAGGAGGCTGACCTACAGATTGAGCGTGAACAGCGTCAAGGTGGAGAGCGATCAGGCCTTAGCCGCCAGGCTCTTGCGCGCTGCACAAGGTGCAGAGAGACTGGGCATAACTCACGTACGTGTAAAAAGGATAGTTAGGTACTTCTTAATCTACTCTATTAATTTCTATATATTATACTATTGCGTTGTTAAGTTGTAGAGCTTTAAAGGTGCGCAAAGTTGGTGGGGTGGCTCACTCGCTTGTATGGCTCACTCGCTTGTGAAACATGTTACAACTACGGTGTATTGATGAACTAACTAATATCCCCCACTATGTAACGAGAACCACCCCGTAACGAGATGACTTTACTAATTAATTAGGTTGAGTTAGCAAATGGTAATTGTTGTAAGTTGACTAATTAATTAAATTTAGATCGCGGGAATTCTCCCTCCCAGTATTTTTTCGGGGATCAGAGGGGGGGTGATCATCATGGTGATGGCGCGCCTGCCACACCACTTCCAACAAAGAACATGAAACCCTGCACCGTTGCGGCTCGAGGCCGTCCTCTGAACAGCACATATCACAGTTTTTGTGCACTCAAGTATGACATTGTAACTGAATCTTAGACTCGCTGCTACCACACACTACACAAAGCCGCGAGCTCACTCGCTACTGTTGCGTTGTAAGGCTCACCTAGCATATTCCGAGCCAGTCGCTCCTTTGATCGCAAACCTCAGACTTTCCTCTCCAGCTGCGGGCTTGCCGCCGAGGTCAAAAGCAATCTCATCGTGTGCTATAGGCCCCGCGGGCAGCCACTGCGCTTCTCTCACGGTCGGCTGCGCCTCGTGCATTCCGCAGTATTGCAGTGATGGTGCCTGGCCGGGGCGTCCCGTACCCAGCGCCAGACGTCGCCCCAACTGTAGAAGATGGTCTGCATCGGGATCAACTGCCCAGGACTCGTTGCGTGGCTCGAGGACGATCTCCACAGGCCCTTCGAGCCACAGCAGCCGGGTGCGGTGGCTGCTGGGCGCGTCTGCGTACTCGCTGGTGCGCCTGAGCAGCAAGCTGAGAAGCATGAGGCTTTCGTTGTATTCGTCGTCCTCGGGCGGCACCAGCGAAGAATATTTGTCTTCGGCGCCTAAAGAAAGCGTCAAAGCCTTTTGGAGCAATGGCCGTGGTGGTGGCCATACTCCACCCGGCCCCCGTAGTGAGATGGCAAGGACAACTTCCGACGACGGAATTCCTGCAGCGAAGGCGTCTTTGGGTAACTCGAGCCCGTTTCCCAGTACATAGATCTGGAGGCCCTGGAGAGCAGCCGAGCGGACTACCGGATCAGACAGGATTCCAGATAGCGGAGCTTCCACCATGATGACCCGTAGTTAGGCGTGTGTAGAGTGGTTGGGAGTGTATCTGACCGGCTACAGTGCTGCTGTACTGTGCGCACTGGTGCTGGCTTGGGCAGAATACTTCTGCTCGCAAAGCGATGCAGCGAGCGTGACGGGTCAAGTCTAGGTTGCAGCTGCATACAGCACCTTCTTTAGCATGGCAAGTAGCGGAAGAACAGCTTCGTTTTCTTCTCGACGGTCGCTTGCACGTAGTTCTCTTCTTTGAGGGCCGATTGTGGAAGCGTATCAAGCACGTGGCGCAAGGCGAGGACTTTAAACCCCACAAGAGACTCAGACGCAGGATGTGGAGCCAGATACGTACGCAGCCTGCAGCGCACGATTTGAGAGAGAGCCGACGTTCTAAATGCGTAGATGAGAAGAGGCACGATCCTGCGCCCGGCACAGTCAGACAGCGGGCCGCTGGTCAGGTGACGGCGAGATGCCACTGTGCCATCGATACGTCGATGTTCAGGCTCGCGCCCAAGCATAGCACCACGCGGGAGCGAGAAACACGCTAGTGGGCTGCACTCGCATGGCGCATCCCATCCCAAATTAGCATACTTGGATCCCGCCCGGCTCTGGCATGTCAATCTACAGCCAGGCACGGAAGCCCGTTCGGTCAGAGAAGCCCAACAGGAGTGTCAGCACGAAGGCCACATGGAGACTCTATTTGTAGGCCCCGCTGTTGTCGGCGGGTAGTTTCGCTCAGCTGAGATGCCAGTCTTTCTCGCAGTGAGTCAGCGCCATGCAGTAAGCGGCGAGGGGACAGTGGGTCAGAGCGATACAAAGCACAGGGTATCCGGCGAGACAGCGGAGCGGAAGCAGGCAAACATAGATATAGCAGATGGCGATATTTTTGTTTGATAAAACGCAATTCAACTGCCGCTACGGTGTGCAGAAACTGTTGCTACGCTGCAGATTACACGCTTTGCACAGTCAAGCTCACTAACATTACTAGACGATCCACAGCCCAGCCATGATCTGCGCCTGCGAGCAGCCTGGTCTGCGTCCCTGCCGCTATCCGGTTCGTTTTTTTGTACCGAGGTCTACCTTTGTAACTGTCTGGATCATGGTAAAGAAGAAGAAGCCGTCGACTCGGCGTCCATTTGTGGGACGCTCGTTTTTGACCTGGATGCTTAATCGCGTCACTCTCCTGAGGGGTGTAGGGAGGAAACGGGAAGGCGGTAGACAGCGCAACCGACATGGAGACGCGGTATCGAACAGCATGACGCCTAGCATTCTCGCTTTATGTGCGGACAGTGTGGGGTTGCATATTCTCTGCGGTCTGAAACCTAGTCACCAGCATACTACTCATAGTGCCATGGTATATATTGATGTTCGTATAAGGTTGCACGGTCTCCTTGTTCTAACGTCATGATCCACTCGTGTGCGCGATGATGGGAACAGTGAGCTCTCCTTGTAGTGGCAGATCCCTGGAACTGAACCCAACGTGCACACCAATCTCGCCCATGGGTAGAGTCCATGCTTGCGCAGTCGTTTCCCAGTAACTCAAGTCACGTCGAGTCAGGGGGAACCGCACAGTTCCAGATGCACCAGCATCGAGGGCAATCTTCTCGAAGCCACGCAGACTGCGCACAGGCGCGTTCGCTTCCTGGGGATACGAGAGGTACAGCTGGGGCACTGTAGCGCCAGCAACCGGGCCGGTGTTTGTGACGGTCGCGCTGATAGTAGCCAGAGTGGCCCACAGCTCTGGATTACCACCTGGCTGGACTGGAGTGGCCGGATCAGGCATTCGCGAAACGTTGATCGCGCCGACCTCGATCTGCAGGCAGGAGATGTTGAACGTAGTGTAGCTTAACCCAAAGCCGAACTCGAATGCTACGCTCGCATTGCATGCATCAAACTCTTTGTAGTCGATCAGGTTGCCCTCGATGAAATCCGCCTGCCATGCATCGGGATCAGTGGTGGTGGCTAGCTCGGTGCTGTTGATCAGGTTCTTGGCGTAGTCGGTCTCCTCACTGGCAATCGTGTAGGGCAGCCTGCCGGACGGATTCACGTCGCCCCACAGGATGTCCGCCATGGAGTTCCCGGACTCCTGGCCTGGCATATGCGCTACCAGTATGGCTGTTACGTTCGGGTTGTCACGCCACGGCATGGTGTTTGGTGCGGCGCCGTGGAGCACCACCACGGTGTTGTTACAGACGGCTATTGTGCGGTCGACGACAGCCGTAGAGTTCCACTCTGCAATCAATGTGGTGCGGTCGTCGCCCTCGCTGGCCCAGGACTTGAGGAAAACAATGCAGACCTCGGGTGGCGCAGGGCCCAGGCTAGCGAGACCTCCTCCAACAATGTATCCATTGTCAGTGATGTACTGCACAATAGCTCCTTGCGACTGGCCACGAGACTTTATAGCTTCTAGAGGTGAAACCACACACGAAAAGCGGCCAGTGCCAGAACCGCCCCCGACTGCCAGCGTGCCGATGTCGTAATCGCCATCCATCAGATTGAGTCCTATCGTCGCTAGCGAGTACTGTCCTCTTGTAAGATCAGCCGCGTCGTTGCCGAAAATACCGATGGTATTAGGAGTCTTCAGAGGCAGCGCTCCGTTGGTGTTCTTCAACAATACCGTTCCGGCGGCGCCAAGATCCCGTATCAGTTGCGCATGCTGCTGGGTGCGGACGTCTACGGTCGGGCCTAGCGTGAAGTTGTGTGAATATCCAGAAGCACCAAAGAACCCGAGTTGCGGGGTGTATCCGTCGATGGGAGGAAAGCCGGTGTCTTGGCCTAAATGGAAATACGGCATCATGACTCGAAGGACCATGTCGTCGACTCGTTCTTCCGAGAGCGATCCGTTGTGCACGGCAACAGTGATGTTGTCGCCCCAGAACGATTGGGTCAGATCTAGGAAACCGATACCGCCAGGCATGTTCATATCCAGCCCCGCTTCGATGGAAGCCATACCAGAGTGTGTTGCGAGCCAATCGCTCATCACATACCCTTGAAAGCCCAGTTCTTCTTTCAGCAGCCCGTTGAGAGTCTTGCTATTCTGGCACGCTGGAGGGCTCGTCAGCAGAGATCGTTGACAGTACTCGAACTGCGTACCGTAGCTACCGTTGATGCGCTGGTACGAGCACATCACAGCAGATGTGCCTGCCCGAACGGCGTTGGCGAAGGGCCAGAGATATGTTTCATGCATGGTTTTGTCGTCTACATTGGAACTGACAGCCTCGATCGTGACACCGTTGACGACCGAGGGATTTCTTTGGATCTCTTGCTCGTTTGCTGTGGACATCAGACACAAGTTTCGTAGCATCTGTCGAGCCTGTACTCACCGATATAGTGCTTCGTGCATGTCTGGACGCCGGCGCTCTGCATTCCATGGATGGTCTCCTCGACAAGAACGCCGGAGAGGTAGGCATCGGGACTGAACCCCTCCCAGTTGCGTCCACCGAATGGCGATCGACCAAGTGCACCGACGACGGGACCTAGAGCTACATGGGCGCCTTTGCCTCTGAACTCTGCGCCCATGTACTCCCCACGCTGACGAACCAACGTCCGATCCCACGAAGCTGCCGCTGAGACACCAGCCGAGAACACGGAGACGGAGACTGCCTGTCGAATGGCAAGAGGCCCGTCGTGTAGACAAAGACCGCTGAAATTGAGTCGCTCAATCGGCGCAATGTTGCCAACACATGGACCGGGAGTACCTGTGGACGTCTGTGAGCCATGAAACATCCTTGACCAAGCGCTGCGTACCTGTGACCATCTGAGCCTTTTCTTCGATTGTCAGCTCGGCGACAAATGCCTGGGCTTTCTCAAGAGCTGCATCCCATCCTCCTGCTCCGCAAGTCCGCGGCGAGGGATATACGGGTGGACTTGTCCCATACTGTGTGTGCTTGACATTGAACTGCGCTGCAGCCGCCGTAGCACATGCGACCAAAAACAGTGCTCGTATCATCTCAGTGTTTACTAGAGCGGCTGCCGTCAGATTATGGTCCTGACTTATGAACACGACAGCCCATCGACGGAGACTTTATACTACTGTCCTGCTTTGGCTGTGCATAGGTAGTGCTTGCGAGAGTCTGCTGAGCACGCACTAGGCATCCGCCGCGCTGACTGCCTCTGCCGAATAGACGCCATCTGTGGGCAAGTGCTGGCTGTGTCGATGTCAGAGCGTACCCGCCGGCTTGGAGCTAGGCAAGCAGGCATTCAAGTCACGTGAGAATCACTCGGGATGACGCGCAGTGAGCGACTCGGGATAGCCACAGACCGCCTGGAACCATCACGTAAGCCACTGGGGATGCACGGAAAACCACTCGGGATTGCGGTAGCGGACGTGAGGTAGACGGCGCAGTTGGGCGACGGCGGCAGGCATTGGTGCGGGTACGGTGGCGGTCATCGCGCCAGGGTTTCACGCTCCACCACGCTGCGCTATAGAAGTTTTGCTGAACAGGCGTCGAAGACGTACGAATCAGCTCCATCCATGTTCTATTTTCACTGGGGCGATCCGGTAGTGGTAGGCTATCTCTCAAGTTTCGCGTGTAATATCAGAGCGCTCGCACTGGTGACCCTAGCAGCCGCAGCGTAGGTGAAAGGATGACGATCGCATCTCACTACAACACCACTTCCGCTCCACCTACCTCGCGCAGACTCTGCATATCTACGAAAGGCTTAGAATGGCAGACTTCACGGACGCACCCGCCCCGCATGGTAGACTGCGAAAAGACGGCCACGAAGCGAACCCGCGCATGTCTCGTCGCGGCTCTGTCTGTGGACATCCCGGTGAGTTCATTGGATTGTGGAAGATTGAGAGCAAAAATCAACGGCACAGCGCAATCGGATTCGAATCGTTCCAGGAACACGGTCGAGCCGAGAATTGCGCAGTAGACATCGAGGCACGATGTCTAGACTGCGCAACAGAAAGGAAAGATATGGGCGACAAGGATCAAACAGTGCCACCACAAAGAACACTAGAGTCGCACCAGGCAGGCACGTACGCGGGCGAGACGGGCACAACCTCGCCAGGTGGACTTGACGACGTGCTGAAGAGGCACACATGTTCGCGCCATCAAGGCACAGTCACCAAGCCCTACCCACCCGTTTTCGAAGAGAAACACCAAGCTCATTGCCTTGAAGTAGAAGCAGAAACTGGAACATGTCCTGACAAGTGGCTGGCGATTCCAACGACACGACCTTGGAACACGACGCCTCACACAGCAGGTCACATGGGACTAGGAGGCTATCAGAGAAGCGTATCTGCCCTCTCCGGGAACGAAGCATGCCATCCGACTACCGATTCTCCAGCTCCGTTTGCGGGAGTGTCTGCGTTCATCGACCATCTGATCGCCGAGTATGCCTCACCTGTCAATAGCGGATGTGACCCAGATCCTGTAGATACGAAGTACGAGCAACCACGAGCCGCTCCCGCTGTTCCCACTGTTCCCACTGTTCCCAAGAGAGATTTGCTGGACTCTACGACGCTATGGAGCAGTATCTCGACAGGAGCTTTGACCAAGTCCGGGCCAGTTTCGAGGAACTTCCGAAGGCTCCGGTTGGACATCCAGAGTTCCCATCCATCCATTCATAGGACACAATCCGGTCAGGAGAGTCCAGACTGGGCTTGTCAGACATCCCGGGCCATTGAAGCTGGAAGGATCTCAATGGACAGTATATGCATGCGTACACAGGATTCGACACCGAGACACATACTGGAAGCTATGCGTAGCCCAACGGAAACATGTTTACCAGATCGCAGGAGAGTGCAGAGCTTCGGACCAGGACGGGAGGAGTCAAATTACTCAGCACCTTTTAGCAGGCATTCGGAAGGCGCCTTGCAGCTTGTACGAGGAGCAAACGCTGCTCGTCGTGTAAGAGAACCCGGGGGAATGGAAGGCAGGATCGGGAGAGAGCCGCTGAGGCATGACTGCGTGCAGGTGGCTTTGCCGATAGACTTGAACAAGAGCCTGCCTGCGTTGCCTTTGCAAATATGCCGGCAGCATGGCAAGGAACAAGCGGCACCTCGATAAAGTAACCTTATTATTTACTAGGCAAGCTTCCTCGAAGCGTAGAATGCGATGGCTGGTCATCAGCTTACATTCGTGCAAACCACACCATCCATTGGGATGGCATGCAGTGAACGACTCGGGATAGCTGCGGTCTGAAATAATCACATACGCCACTGGTGATGTAGCCTCACCTACGACCCGCTTCCCTTTGGCTATATAAAGCTTATGTGGCCCAGTAGCGTTCTTGGGCGCTGAGTTTTCGGCTTTCGCAGTTGTAGCTCCCTCTTTTCCCACTTCTTCACGATCTCATAAGCCGTGCCTCTGGTTAGAATACAGCTTGGCACTGTTGCAGATCAACAGACTTGCCACCCTTCTTACACTATGCTTCTTCTCGATACTCGCTGCGTTTTGTGATCGCTGCTACGTGACGTTGGTGTGTTTTTGAACCGAGATGTGATGGAGTGGTGGACTTGGCTTCCGTAGTTGCTGTCTTGATTCGCGCACTGCGTATCCAGTGCTGTGGGGTAAAAGCACAGACAAATTTCGGGCAAAGTGGTCTTGCCGCTGAGCTCCTGGACTGGCTTGGCTGTATCAGCTTTTACACTCGTGATGCAAGTAGCATGGGTTCGTAAGCAAGCTCCCGTTCGTTGCTGGAGCGCGGTTGATACTTGGCGCTCCTGACACCACGACAGATAAGCATTAGACTAAGTGAACAAAAGCACTATTTATTTATACTTTCTCTAGTTCCTCTCCTCGCCATTTCCTGTGCCACCCACCACCGAGCCAACCGTCGAAATGGCCCTTCGCTCAGCCGATCTTTTGGAATGTTTTTGTGGCCGCCGCTATACGTATGCGATCGATCTGGAAGAACATCGAAGAGCGCGAGGACACTTTTCTTCACATGTCTGCAGAGATGATTGCAAACATCCTCCAGCGGTTCCGCACGACGGTGCCATTCGCAAATGCGACTGTTGCGGTAAAACCTGCGAGCGCCTGGACATCCTTGAAGACCACCGTGTTGCTACGGGACACCTTTCCTGTTCGGAATCCGAAATCCCTTTCCAAGGCCAGAGTGCGCATCGTAATCCTTTGCAGCAAACACCCCACGGCAGTGCAAGAGAGGCTAGGAACGCTACCGCCGCGAATGCGGAAGACCAGGCATGTACAAGATGTCGGCGAACCTTTCCATCCTCCCAATCTCTCCAACAACATCGTGAGTCGATAAAGCACAAGCCACTCAGTGCTCTAGGTTGTCCTGTAGGAGAGGGATGCACAGCCAAGTTCAGTGCACCGTCGGCTCTGCTGCACCATCTGGAAAGTGGAAGTTGTAGCTCAGCTATGGACCGAGACGACATCTACGACATCATCCAGCTGTGCGACAGGGATTTCACTATCCACAGCCTCCCCACGCTCACACCTTCGAGCCCTGCCCACCTCTCACCGCCTCGTCCATCTCCTTCTCCCGGAACGCCGACAGCGTCTCTCCCTAGCTCAGAGGACTGGTCGTTAGTCACCCCCACCAACTCTCAGGGCAGCGTGGAGAGTACTTTGGTAGATTGGTCGTCGCGGGAGGATAGCTATCTTTCGCTCCGAAGGAGAAGCCTGGTCGACGAAAATGAGCCCGAGCTCTGTTGTCCCCTTTGTCCAAAGAAGCGCAAACCCTTTGCTACAAGGCAGGATCTTCAACAGCATACGAGCTCTTCAGCACACTGCGACAAGGTCTACCACTGCCCGAGCAACCCCCTGCCACTGGACTCCAAAGGGCTCGGAACAAAGCGAGGAAAGCGAAAGCAGTTTGCAACTCTGAGTGCATTGGCTCAACATTTAGAGAGCGGGGCATGCCACGGTGGCAAACAAACGTTCTTGCTCTGCATGGAGTTTATTCAACAGCATCTGGGGCCATGCGGACTTGGAGGGATACGCCTTCTCTTGCCGGATTCCTAAGATTGAACAAAGTGCGGTTGTCGTTTCAGATTCGCAGCTGGTAGGATACTATTTATATACAAATGATCTATATCTTTCCCTGCTCCATCGGCGTTTCCTCACGTGTAGTATTATCCTGTTTGAAGCTGCAAGGGCGAGTAGTACTCACCGGCCACAGAATACGCTGCTGATAGGCACCGCCGCTCCGCTTCCGCTCATGTTCAGAGCGGCGCTGCTGTTGAAAACTTTGATCACACCCCGCGTGATGGCAACACAGCGGACTAGCGCAAGGGGGAAGAACTTACCGACACGCAAAGCATGCTCACTTCCTGTAAAGCCGAGCTGGTCAGTGATTCCGGTGGCTATGAAGGAGCTAGCCACTCCTGGTAGTATGTTCTCTGCTGAGATCACTCCTGCTATCAGTCAGAATTAGGTCAAGTCAGGCAGGCCATGAACGTCCCTGGCGAGTGTTGTAGCGGCCTCCTCAACTCTGCGTCGGAGCAATTAGCAAACAGTGGCAGGAAAAATTCTCTTGCGGGGAACCCAGTGCCTTGCGCTGCCGTGATGGAGACTGCTGGGATGCCATCACGCACGCAGCTGTACTCTTTCTGACCAATAACGGCGAGTGGAAGCAACGGGAAAAGCGCTGTGATTTTCATTCTGCTAAACTGTGCCGAGTGAGATCTAGTTGGACGGCAGCCACTTTATATAGAGAAGCGTAAAATCTATGCTGAGTAAGTCTTCGGTGCTGGCCGGGTCCTAGAGCTCTGCCTACGGAACGGGCTCACCGCAGAGCCCGAATGATGCGCATGTCCCGATCTCCTGAGGATGGCTTCCCATGGGACGTTCAGGCTCAGAGGCGTCTCTTTGCAGGCCTTTTGGCGTCTCATGCGCAGCGATCTGTGTTGCTGGCCTCGCAATCTCTAGCAACCGGCTGCATCGCGCGGCTGCTCCAGTCGGTTATATACCTGCAGATGATGGGAAAAGCTCAAGTAGATTATGAATGAATATACCTCTTTTCTAAATGAAGTTTCATGATGGTTCGTTTGTTATCGTGACAGACCGCCCACCCGATGCACTGCTGACCCTTGGCTCACCCCGGCTCACCCCCGGCTCATCCTCGCTCACCCTCGCTCACCCTCGCTCACCCAATGCTCAGTCATTGCTCGCGAGGATATATCCTAAGCCGTTCGCTCAGAAATAGCAGAACATCATCGCATGGAGACTGCCCCAACTGCGTTTCGCAATTGATCAATGATCACTTCCCAGGCGGCAAGGGCATTGTTGAATTAACTTGGCGTTGGCTCTTTCGACATGTATACACTACTATGTGACTATTTGGCTATCTGCAACCCCAGCATCCATAACGAGAGCCATCGTACATCCATATGTTGCACTTCGCAATATTTGCGGCCATCACGCACAGCAATTTGATCAGCAACGGGTGCTTTATCTGGACGGTTTGGTGCCAGGCTCTGTGCTATACTCCCGTCCACGCCCCCTCTTCCAGCTACCATGAAAGCATGCATCCAGCGGCTCTGTAGCGACTCACTGCAAGCGTCGTAGTCCGGACGCTCTGCTCACGTGTAAACAGCGTTGTTGAGACAAAATGCGGGAGTCTTCTGTCTTCCCGTCTCTCCGCATCCGCAAAGTCAGCGCCAGACCGTGCGGCAGACATTGTCGCAAGGCTGCAGCACGGCTCGGCATTCCATGAATACCATCTGCACACGCACATGAAGTGCGGGCCTACCCGAGTGGTTTACACGAGTGGAAGCGCTGACACGACGAGTGGTCATCTGGCGTGGACGCTAGCAGGTGTGGGATGCGACTACTAGGGGTGGGGTGCTTTCGCGACGCCACTCGTGATTACTGTGTACCCCTCCGGCAACATCCCTGACGACCTGCAGAGGTGAGGCTTCCGCAAGACGGCGTCGGAGAGAAACAACTACGCAACATATTCCAGACAGAGCATTTGACGGTACTGTCGCGAGCAGATGGAATTACCCATCACAACAGCCTCAACAACATCTGCCGGCGGCCGCAATACTCTCTATCAACCATTGCCAACGTTGCGTTCACACGTCATATCAAACCTCGTTATGCCTCTTCATCTCATTGTTCTCGATGTCTCTGGTCGTAAATTCCAAACACAAAAGGCTACACTCCAAACTTCTCCGTATTTCCAAAATCTCTTGGCCAGATGGGACGATTGCAGCGATAGACAAGATGATGGCTCCTACTTCATCGATGCAGATCCTGATGCATTCCAACATATCTTGAACTTTATGCGACGTCCGTCAAAGTTCCTCTTGTTGTGGTCAAAGGAGACAGGCTTTGACTACGCACTCTACAACAAAATCGAAGCGGAAGCAGATTACTTCCTCCTCCATGCTCTGCGCGACTGGTTACAAAAGAACCGTTATCTCGATGCCGTCAAAACTACCATCGAGGTAAAAGCATTGTCAGAAAAACAGCTTGAAGACGACCGGAACCAGACAAGATACGAAGCCGACATAGAGGTCCAGGGCTTTTTTGGTTCATACTCGGGAGAGAAGCGCTATCGTAGTCTGTGCGCGATCCATCCGATAAACACGGAACCGGTAAGGGGCTGTCACTCTTGCGAGGGACTCATACAGGCGCATGGGCCACAATACGATGATCCGCCGAAGAGACTTACTTTGGTGACTAAAAGAATAGAGTTTGGTGAGACTGTCTGTGTAAACAAAACGGTCTCTTGATGGCTGTGTAGACATGTGTAGTATGTGTCCCTCTACGTCCACATTCGGCGAAGTTCTTTTCACCCCACTAAGGCACGGAAACGTTGGCGTGGATGTAATGATTTGAAACGGTGCATCCTCATTTACAATCTGTATCTCTGAAGCTTTGCGAAATCTGCTAAATCCAATAGAATTGACTGTGTATGCTAGATCTATTCCTTAAGGGTTCCCGTTCATATCTCCAGTACATGACCCTCTTCAAACTTGCTCGCTAACAGCCTTTCGCGTTTTGTCCGACTCCGACGACTTCGTGTCCTCTCCCAGCTCTGCCGTGGCCGTCACGCCTCGTCTACTGCCTCTGTTGTCCCTCACCCAAAATATCTTTAGTCCAGGCAGCGAGGCGACGATAATGGCGAGGGCCAGTTCGGCCATGCTCAGGATGTCTGTGTAGCGCCCGAGTTAGTACGCGAGTGCAGTGGCACGGTAGTGGCCACGGAACGTACAGACAAGGTTTTCCTGGCCCGTCCCAACTTTGAGGCAGATGTAGCGGACGACGCCCGTGACTATGGGGAGTGCTCCTATAGCAAGGGTCAGAACGACCGCAGTGGATGTCTCGAGGATGCCTCGGATGAGGAGGGTCGTGGGGAGCATGTAGATGATCAGATAGCAAGTCAAGCCGAGCGTGAAGTTTAGGATGAAAGGCTCCTGAGCATAGAAAACGGAACATGCGCCTTTCTCTTGAGACCACTGCACAGAGATGTCTTTGCCGCAGAAGAACGTGTCGTCGAGGAGACTCGTCAGATAGCAGGCAACGACGAAGGCGATCATGAACAACAAGACTTTCCGCACCGTTCGGTGGCGGTTAACATCGAAGAAGGTCCAGTAGAAAGCCAGCATGCTGAGCTTGGGCAGGCCCAGTCCGAAGTCGTAGAAATAGTTCGAGGCGAACGAGATCTTGCGGTTGCAAGTGTCAGCGAGGTTCCCGAAGAATCAAGCGGCCAGTCTGGAATGACCTGGACGATAAGAGGGGAATGACGGATGGAGACCATGTCTGCCAAGCGACACGTAGCTCCTTCTCTTTACAACAGTTCTCCTTCGACACGTACCTTGTACAGTTTTTCCGAAGTCTGATAATCGTCCAATACGCCCATCTGGAAAGTGAGGGTGTCGCAGACGATCAAACCCAGGGCGTCGAGGGCAGAGGCCACCAGCAAGAGCTCGGACCAGTTCAATCTCTTGCGAAGGCAGAACAGACGCACGTAGATGCGCGCAGCAACGAAAGCGTAGGCGACAACGAAGAAGATCCATTCTACGATCTGGCAAGGGGTTCGTCCATTAGCAATGTCATGTGCAGATTGCCCCCACCAATGGCGTACCATACAGTCGTTGCCACGGATAAAGTATGCCATTGCAACGGCATGCAGTGGTCGAGGAAAGCACGAATAGTCAATTCACTGGAGCGGCGATGACCCTTACTTGTCAGGTCAAAGCCACACACAGGAGAGATGAAGACCTAGCTCCAGCGGTCTAACAAGGCTGTACGTGTTTGTTCTGGGAGACGTGTCTCGTCACACGGGCCACAGCTACCACACGGGATCACCAGCGAGTTATGTTGCTCCACGACATACCAGCACTGGCGGCATCGTTACATGCAGAAGGAGTCAGCCAGGTCTGTGGCCATAGCATTACTGACCCAGCATTATTGGATCTCCACGTGGCTGCCCGTGTGGTTCCCAATGTGGTTCCCCATGTGGTTCCCCATGTGGTCGAGCCGAGGCGCCTTGGGCGAATCTATCATCTTCATTGAGCTCGGACCGGTGATAACATATAGAGTCGCCAGCATTTCAGTGTCAATTTCAGGACTCTACTGCATCTGGTAGGTTATCAGAGTGCGGGTTCACATTCGAAACTGTGACCTCATTCACAACTCGGCCGAAACACTCTCGACGCCACACTGTTCCAGAGCATAGGAGCATGAGGATCTCTGCATGCCTGCTGGCTCTGCCGGGCTTGCTTGGAGTCATCGCAGGTAAATGAACACCAGCAGCTGAGATTGCCCGGCGCTGACACGCTCTGGATTCGTGTGTGCAAACCGATTCCACTCCAGATTTGGGGTATGACGAGCTCTGGCGCCTCCAGCACGAGTTCTACGGGCGGTGGATAACGCCCAATAACGCGAAAGAAGCCGAGTCCATCAACTCGACTATATTCTCTGATAACGTAAGATTGTGACTCTCGCAAGGGGACGCTTGTACTAACCGTTTGTAGATCCTAGGACGCGTTTCCGACACGCGCACCTTCGTAGGCCGCGAGCTCAACACCGAGTACATCTTCGGGCTCTTCATGCCATCGGAATCTCTTTCTATCGTCGGAAATCCAATGGAATACGAAGTGATCCAGTTTGCAGCGGTCCAGAACATCGCATCGGCAACTACGCGCGTCAACTTTACCTTTCCGGCGTTCAACAATATATCTCTCCCGGTTGTGATTAACACATGGATGACGTGGAACTCCGCCCGTCAAATAACGCAGTATGATGTCGTGTTCAAGTGGTCCGGAAACCTATTCCAGACTCTCATCCTGAGCTTGGGTGGCTCTGCTGAGGAGGCTGGCAGCAAGACAGTACACAAGATTGCGACATCGATATGCAACTCGCATACAAGATATTGCAAGGGCACAAACGCGCAGTACGACTCGTGGGAGGGGTGCTACGGTTTTCTGACAAAAAAGCTACGCGTGGGACAGAGCTTCGAGTTGGGCGAGAACACGCTCATGTGCCGCAGTGTGCACGAGCTCATGGTCAAATACCGGCCTGAGATTCACTGCAGTCACATTGGCCCTACAGGAGGGGGGAATGCGACGACGCGCTTACATATGTCGAGAAAGTGGAGGAACGTCTTGATACGAACTCGCCATGGATCGCCGGGAGATCGTAGACTTGCTGGCCGAGCATGGCAGGTAGACTGCATCTGTATGACCTTCTGTTCCCCCGCCATAGCATTATGATAGTCTCCTCTCGTGTGTGGCGTTGTTCACATCCTCCGAAGATTTCTGATCTCATCGAGTTGTGTCGCTGTTGCAATGGTATGCTATGTATGTTCAAGATTGTTGCACCCTCCGAAACTGCTAGTGTACTACGTTGTCCCATACAGGGCTTCGTAAACCCGCACGCTAAACGTAGCTAAACCATACCACGTCCTTCCTCGGATGTGCTCTTCTCCCAGGCAACCGATAAATTCTCCAAAACGACTTACCATGAACTCCCACCCTCTGCAGCTCTCAGCCACGGTCGATTCTCTCGCGTTGTGTCGACACGCACAGGCCGACCACATCCCGCAGCCTTCAAGCCAATAGCTGCGCAAACCTGCTACGCGTTTAGCATCCATAACGTGCCTACACGGGGCCTTCTACCATGTCAATCTCCCAATCAAAGTAACAAAACCACACATCCACTTCTTCGCACTTCTTACGTCGCGCTTGCTCCGCCTGTACGACCCCCTTGCGCATTTCTCCTGACCCACTGGCGGAAAGGTCAAGGTGTCCGCGGAAGACTAGCTTGGTGTGGATGCCGAGTGGCAGCCACAAACCACTTGGGACGCTATATTTACTCGTAAGCAAGACCAACTGGTACCGGCAAGCTTCCGCGGTGATACTGCACGTACAAATGATACCCTACCGAGTTAGATTTGACGTCCTTGATGGATCGCAGTGCCTCTTTGGCGGCGGAAAGCTAGTGCATATTGTCGTGGGGCAAATTGGTGCCTGTGCGCTTACGGTAACATGAGAGGTACGACACAGCCGTGCCATGTAGGTCAGAGTGCTGGGTGGCGAAAACGTATTCATCAGCGTGTACGAGAGCGGCGTTTGGGATGACAGCCAAGGCGCCTTCATGGAGCCCAATCTAGTGCTTGCTAACTACGGAATCGTTGAGAGGAGCCTAGAGCTATCAACTACCACGCGCCTTGACGAGATGACTGTGCTGGATGATGCGCCCAGATGTCGGGTAGGCGTTTGCCGCGCACCCACTGCAAAATGCTACATAGAAAGACGCAACCATTCATTTCCAACCTGCCAACCAAGAATATTTCTACACTCCTGTCAGGATATCACATTAGACAAGGAGGAAGAAACACCACACTGGCACTCGCACGAGCCCAAAAGACGTACCGATGCACTACACCAGACGTACCGATGCACTACACCAGACGTACCGATGCACTACACCGCATCATTGATGACTCCACACGCATCATGAACGCTATATTTATCTCTACACAATGCCGTCCGGCGCAAAGTACAGATGGTGGGGCCAGTTCGTCTTGCTGTGCTCGATATGGTTGATCGCATAGCCACCTCTGTCCTGCTTGTACCCTAGATCCCACATCTTGTCCACGCAATTTGGTCACTCTCTAGTCCTTAGCTCCGCCACTCGCTAGTGGGTTGCATAGACGCCCTCGAGTCGACCTGGCAGGCAACCCGCTGGCTTATACGGCCCTAGTCAGCTGCTGCAGACGCTCTTCGACCTCCATCAGTCACCACGCCGGGGCTTTTCTGCATCGTCCACCCTTACCTCCAGCTGCTGTATCCATTGCCTACCACCTCATTCATTATGACGGATCACGGCATCTTCCCCAACGTCGTCGGCACCAGCTACGGCATCGGCAAGCAGATTGGCGAGGGCTCCTTTGGCATTATCTTTGAGGGCATCAACCTGCTCAACCAGCAACAGGTTGCCATAAAGTTCGAACCGCATAAGAGCAGAGCTCCTCAACTGCGCAATGAGTATTACGCGTACAAGGCTCTCATAGGCTGTGGTAAGTTGTTACCCTGCTCCTGTCATCCACTCTGATATCGTCCGTTCGTGCGAGTGAAAGCACTGCCGTGGCATGTATCTACACGTACACTTCATAACGTATGTTGAGCATGTTCTGTACGGAACATTGTAGATGTTGTTGATAGGATCGTCGCCATCGTACCAAATATAGCTATTGCCAATCAACTAGCTCCTCAAGCACCCCAAGAACTAGACTAACATGACGCAGCGGGGATTCCTAATGCCTATTACTTCGGCCGGGAGGACATGCATAACATTCTGGTCATCGACCTGCTCGGGCCTAGCTTGGAGGACTTGTTCAACTACTGCAACAGGCAGTTCACAATCAAAACTGTAGTCATGGTTGGCAAGCAGATGGTGTGTAGATGTACCGATTTCTCCATCTCCTAGACTAATGCGTCTGTAGTTATCGAGAGTACAGGCAATCCACGAGAAGAATCTGATCCACCGCGACATCAAGCCTGAGAACTTCCTCGTTGGCCGGCTGGGATCTAAGAGCGCCAATTCGATCCATGTTGTGGATTTCGGTATGGCTAAGCAGTACCGTGACCCCAAGACGAAGCAACACACCTCGTACCGGGAACGCAAGTCTCTCACGGGTACGGCGCGTTACATGAGTGCCAATGCACATCTCAGACGCGAACAGTCTCGCAGAGACGACCTAGAAGCTCTGGGTTACGTCTTTATATACTTCCTCCGAGGTAATCTTCCATGGCAAGGTCTCAAGGCTACTACCAATGAGCAGAAGTACGCGAAGATCGGCGAAATGAAGCAAATGATTCCCATCGGATACATCTGCAGCGGCTTTCCTAGTGTGTCTTCTTGTCCTCACTTCGCCAAACGCAGCTAACAAAAACTAGGAGAGTTTAACGAATACCTCATCTATGTGCGTAACCTGGGTTTCGAAGACACGCCTGACTACGAGTACCTACGCGGACTGCTCACGGAAGCGCTCAAAAGCGTTGGAGAAATTGAGGACGGCGAATACGACTGGATGGATCTTAATAATGGACGAGGCCGAGAAGTCATGAGGGTTAATTCCTCGGCTGTTCCGCGGGTGCACCACTCCAGCGTCCGCCAGAACACCCCAACCGCAGCCCTCGTTCACAACCAATCTAAGAAGAGACGCCCACCCACCAGGCAGCACCACTTGCTTGGGCTACTTCCAGATCGCATAGCAACGCGGTCCGCACCCGAGAGAAACCGGGACCAAGCAGCGTCGTGCCAGGCTCAGTTCCAGCATAGCTAATCGAACTTGAACCAGACCCAATACCGCACGACTCCGTCACACAGTACAAACGCCCAGCGATTACGACAGGAGTGGGTGTACGAGACGGAGGATTTAATGCAGAAGATTTCCAAGATACTTTGCTGCAACTGGAGCCGCAGATAGCACGTTTACTGCTCTACTTTAATTATCCCTGCACTGTGGAATTCGTTCATGGAGTGGACCTTTGCATCCACATCTTCCTCTTTTCATCTCACTCGACACTTTGATACGTGAGTTTGTCTCTCGCACTGCTATGGGTGCTGGGTTATATAGTGTAGCAACGCGGCATCTAACATTGAAGTGGATAGTGTGCGGTGTTCACCACTTTCTCTTTTGGTCCTTGTGATGATACTAGCCTGAGTCTCACTACTTCAAAAGCAGGCAACCCGGCTGAAGCTTCTATATGCTTGCTCAATGCCTACAAAAAGTAAACTCTCTTCAAAGCACTGGAAAGCGACTGCACTGCCTATATCCAGAATATGATTGTAATAGCATAAAGACAGATTGTCTTCTCCGATGACTTCACACCTCGGTGTGCGGGGTATGAAGATTCTGGCTGCTGGAGTCATACGTACACACGACAGTCAGCAGCACATTCGTCAAGAAGCGCAACACTGTAGAGAGCCACAGCATTTGGATACTCTATATTATATCTAACTTTAATATATAGTAGCATAGGAGAGACCTTAACAAAGTCGTTCAATTGCTCAGGCTGTGCGGTAAGCTCAGCATATCCCATCCTGATCAAATCTCCAAAAACAAATGCATTTATGAAAGTGTGCCATGCCGGTCAAAAGCATGGCGCTGCATCGCCATCACATTCCCCAGATGGATCCTACACAAGTTACACTTCTCACCTTCGCGGTCGTTAAACTTCTTCAGATGTCTATGTTTGAAGTGTTTGGTGAGATCGCCTGGCGTCGAAAAACGGTGCGTACGATCTTTTACGTTGAGAGCGTCGTTACCCAAACATATGAAGCATATCTGTGGTCTTTTTTCGTTGTTGACAGCCTCTTTCGCCTTTTCGATAGTCAGTTCATCGGTGTCGACGGCCTCTCGAGGTCCATAGTTAGCACGCGGGTCAACTCTATGGTTTCTCGACGTTTCGCCTTCCTCAATAGGACAGTAATCTGCAACCGACCTGATGGCTTTACTTCGTCGTTGAATCTCTTCCAGAAGAGATGATCCAGGTAGCGACATGATTGACTCGATCAACTTCATGTGTTGCTGTGACCGCTCAGAGGACCGCCTGAGATCGGTCTTGATCATTTCTTCGAATTTCCCTCCAGAAAGTTGTATCTCAATATCTTTCTCTGCTTGTATCCTGTCGTATTCTTTTCGGCTCTGAAGCCTGAGATGGTACGTCAAGCGCTGCTTTTCGTTTTTGATCTCGCTCTGGAGCCTCTTGTGATCGTGTGAAGACTTGGCCAATTGTCTCTGCAGTTTTTTTATTCGCGGGTGTTCTGCGATAGACCGTTTCTGCTCCTCCGTAAGAAAACGAGGTCGGTTTGGATCGATATGTCGGCTCATTCTGCATGCCGCCTCCATGATCTTGTCTTGAGGCGCCAAGCCTCGTACAACGGCTTGTGTATCGGTGGTAATTCGTGTTGACAGGTAATGGTTCAGAAAGACGTCTGTTGTGGCATGCTTCATGATCATGTTTCGCAATGCCTCGCTAGTGCCGCCTGTAATGGCGATTAGGTCAGTCTTATTTTGCCCGTGTCTTTTGCCTTTGCCTATTACGTACCGTCCTTATCGAAGGCATTGGCTGCTCCATATCGGAGATTGTACGGTTTCGCCACGCCCTTGAACCCTGTAATTTCACCGACATCCTGTATGTGCTTTTTGAGAGTAGAGTACGACAGGCGTTCGCTACTGATTTCGCGGCCTGTTGCTGTTTGCTTGTATTGACGGAAAACCCAGAGACCAGCTACCTCTTCTCTGATGGGTATCTCGAGCGAGTTGCAGTTGTCTCGCATGCTGAGCGTGAATAGGTTCTCCGGGGTTAGCTGATCGTTCTTGAAGACTTTATCGGCAAACATCATGCCCAGCACGGTGATGTGGGGACTCATGAATAGAGAACTATCGAAAATGATTTCAGGGAGTACAAAAGTGTTCCTGCTACGTTAGCGGACTTTGTGTGGTCGTTGAAGCTCATTGGAAACGATATACGTACGCTGGTTTGGGCCCTAGATGCGATTTAGTGAACTCAAATGTTATTTCCAGCAGGACGTTGTTTGGACCGCCGTTTGGATTTCGCAGTATGGTGACCTTAAAATCTCCGTAGCGCAATTTGAGGAGAGCTTCTGGTCGATTTGCGGTGAAAAAGCCCCCTTGAAGGAAGAACCATGTCTGTATACGGTATCTTCCTACCTGGAACATTTTCTCCACAGTCGTGAGTGTTGTTTGTGTGATTTCAAGCACGTCTCGTACGTCCATAGAAGGTTTCTCTCTCTGTTTGTGACTCAATTGGTATTGTCCAATCACATCCTTTGTCACCTTGCAACTATATCAGCTCCTGTAGGGTGTTCCTGCATAAACAAAACGACAGTGTGACTTACATTAAGCGTCTTTCTTGACAACTCGCTATCCATGTCCTTCCCTATCATCCTTCTGTATGTCACGAGGAACAATTTTCGGAACGTCGCAAGAGAAGACGCTGCCTTGATTCCAGGAAGCCTTCGTCTGTTTGTTCCGCGCTTTTGATCCAGTTTCCAATAGAAAAAGCTTGAAACATCGCCATGCGATAGGGACTTCATCAACTCGATCGGATCTCTTTTGATGTATTCACAATACCTGGGCAGTGTTTAGCGTCGTACACTCCAGAACTGCGCGGTAAGAGAGATACGTTGTGGGCGGAAAGAGGGCTAAAGAATACTTACTGCTTCCATTGCTTCTCAACGTTTTCCAATTGTTTGGTCGTGCTGTCTGCATAGATATTGATGATCTTCGTGTTGTTCGCCTGGCTCGCACATGCTGTATAAAATTCTGGCGGACGGACAAATTCATTTTCAGATATTCCATCGTCGATACTTGTGCCGTCAGTCTGGTATTCCGAGCCGTTGGCTGACAATGTGGGGGATGTCGACCACGTCTTTGTGCGACTGCAAGCCATGGCAGGTCGTAAGTAGCGGACTTGTCGGTGGTGAAAGGAAGCAGCGATTGAGGGAGAAGAATTGATGTAATGACAAACCAGTGAGTGAGCAAACAGCGGGTTCGCTATGCGAGTGTCCCTTGGAGACTAGATGTGTGGCTACGACCAGTCTTAAGTACGCAATGGGGTCACTGTTCACATAGTAAGAGAAGTTCGTGTTTGTCTGAATAAGTTGCGCATAGCAACACGGGGGTTACCCTTACAGACTAGGACGGAATGAGAAAACTGCATGCTTACAGCTAGTACGTAACGACAAGGTTGCAATCCTGACGAAACGCTAGAAGCTGCGCTAATCTTGATATAGTTATCCGGGCAGGTATGTGCGCCGCTAAGCCACTGCGCATAATAGAGAGGTTTGGCGGCATGTCAGCATCCGAATCCTGCTTCGGCGTCTGCCAGAAACGGCAGCCAATTTGCCGTCTGATTATTTCATAGAGCAATATATTACAATAACAACTGTTTGCTATTACTACAAGCAAGCAAAAAATTTTCTGCCTTTACTTTAACAACATAAAAAATTTTTATTACAACAAGGTAATAATATTACAATAAAGCAACAGTCTTTATAACTCTTTTTATTATATCTCTTTACTGTAAAGTAAGTTATAAGCCTTATACAGGCTATATAAGAACAATATAAGAGAGCTGCAAGCGTAACAGACTTAGAGCGTATAGTAGAGGACACTCTTTTCTTACTCTTAAAACAACAAGAGAGGTTTTTATTAAGGCTGCTGCTGTTAAAGACGCTAGACTAGAGGAGGAGGTTCTGTAATAAGAGCTTAAGATACACGTTTTTTAAAAGAGCTAAGTACGCGCTAAACCTGCTTATAAGGCGCGCCTTGCTCTACAAAGCAAAGTAAGGATTATTCTCTTTACAACCTACACCTGTAGTCTAAATATATAAGCTATCTCTTACTGTCTTTAGTAACGTAAAGCAAGCACTATTGCTTATAGTTACGCTTTATAAGTAACTACTATAGTTCTCTTAACACTAAACGCGCTATAGAATTTAAGTACTTAGCTAAGCACTTAGATTCTACTAATTAGCTAGCTAAGCTAAGCGCTACGCGCACAGCTCTTTATTAATAACTTTTTACTACTTATATATACTAGTTCTATTTTCTTACGTAATATCTTGTATTACACTAGATATTATACGTAGCTATAGTTAACGCTTCTAGTAAGCTCTTAAACTACGTACTTATAGCGTTTTATAATACACTAAGCTACGCGTTAAATAGTTATACTCTAAATAAGTTAAACTTTATAGTACTTACTA